ACATGTGAACAACTAATTAAAAAAAAAATTTGATTGAATGATTGTTGTTTGCTTAACATCAAATGACACGAATTAATTGTTTTATTAATGAAGTGATATAAATGAAAACAGTTAAATAAAAAACTACAAAATTTACTTAAGATCTTATGTTTACTTCAGTTTTTATGTATTCTTTTTTGTGTGAAGTGTTTTAATCATAAAAATTCACATCCAAAATTAAGAAAACATTATTTACTGTAAATTCAGAAATTATTGCATGCATTTATTATTGCGATTTTGTCATTTTTGACTAACATGCGATTTTAATTTTTGCGATATTGAGAAAAATCCTGTTTATTCATTTAAAAATTTGAAAATGCGAGTTTAAATTATTGCGCTTATTACCCTGTCACGTTTTTCGCAATAATAAAAACATCGCAATAATTTCTGAATTTACAGTATTTTATCAGAGTCATATTTCAGTAATGATGGAAATATATTTCTATAATTTTTGTGTTATTTTCACATTTCCTGAGCGGTGTGAGAAAAATATTTATCATCACTAATGAAATATTGTTTCTCAGCAAATGATTGGTCGAAAAATTTAATTATGACTTTAAATTTTCTTAATTTCTACTGAATTTCCTATTTTGACGTCCTGAAAAAAAGGCGACCATGCCTAATGACGTCACATAGAAAGAACACAACTTTCTGCAAATGTTTGAAAAGGAAGGAAGAAATCATCATAGAGACAGATTCCACCACTATAACTTGTGTATTACAATATTTCTCTACTCTCAGCAGTTAAATTTTAATTATTTAAAAAGCTTGGCAAGCCTTGTGCTTTAAATATTAAAATTTATCTGTATCGAGTGGAGAAATATCATAAAAAACTTGTTGCAGTGATGGAATCTATATGTCTCTGTCCACAATAAAGATCCCACATTCAATGTTAAGATTGTATATTATCCTTAATAAAGTGAAATTGAGAATGGAAATGCGGAATGTGTCAAACACAGCGAGAAAATCCCACACCCAAGGTGAGCTTCAGCTGGCCCCAAAACAAACATGTGTACCATATGTGGCTTATCACATTGTTTGGCTTATTTAATTTGTTCTGTCATGTAATTTGTCTTATTACTGAAACAAAAGTTAGTCAAGTCAACTTTTGTATGAGGTATGAATATGTAGGTTTCCCTAGAGCATTCAGATTTGTTTAGTCAATAATGTTTCGCAGAAACATTTATTTTATAACTTTATGCAGTTGTTTTATGATGACATTGCTGTGCATGGCTGTTTTGTACTTAAAATGTTTTATTTTTCAGGTCTGACAAGACTGCACCAGGCACTACAATCAAGAAGAACTGTCAGAGTAGGCTTTATTTACTTGTTATTTATAACTGAATATTAGTATGCTGATGTACATGTATCAATGAATGAGTACAGCTTTTATAATGTTTCAACACCACTACTTAAAACTGTGTATAACATGGAGATGTTTATGTCATAACTTTTCACTAGAAATTGGGAAATCAATTTTGGTCAAAACTTAGTTTTTGTCTCACGTGCAACAAAAGTAACAGTATGTGAGACATAAGGAGTACTATTCAGCAGCAGCATAAACTATTTGTATTCAAAAAACCTTATGTTATGAAAGTTTTGCTGTCATATGTCCATTGTCCTTGACCTCATTTGCATGGTTCAGTGACAGCTTGAAAAAAAATTTATAGTTTTTTATGCCCCACCTAGGAGCATTTTGTTTTTTCTGTCTGTGCGTCTGTTCGTTCTGTATGTTTGTCTTTCTTACCCACTTCAGGTCAATATAAAATAGAAGATGTGGTATGATTGGTAATGAGACAACTCTCCACAAGAGACCAAATGACACAGAAATTAGCAACTATAGGTCACCGTACAGCCTTCAACAATGAGCAAAGCCCATACTGCATAGTCAGCTATAAAAGGCCCTGAAATGACAAATGTAAAACAATTCAAACGAGAACGGGGTTGAACATGTTAGCGGGGTCCCAACCCTCCCCTAACCTGGGACAATGGTGTAACAGTACAACATAAGAACAAACAAGGTAGTTTTTGATGAAGTTGAAGTCCAATCAACTTAAAACTAAAGTACACATGTTCCCTATGATATGATCTTTCTAATTTGAATGCCAATTAACCCAAATTTCAAGATCCACTGAACATAGAAAATGATAGTGTGAGTGAGGCATCCTTGTACTATGGCACTTAATTGTTTGTCATGTGAATCTCTCACTTATTAAGAGTAATTAGATAACTATATTTTATAAATATGGGTCCCTTACAACGTCTACATGTCCATCAGAAAAGGTTCAGCTGACCTCAATCTCATTTCAGAGATCAGTGATCAGTGATCAATGTTAAAGTAATGTAATTAATTCTGTTTTTTAAATGCTTTAAGCAGTAGGTCAACTACATGTATATGTAGTTTATGGAATGAATGTAAGAGGTACATGTCAGTCTGGCAGGTTTCATCTGTCCTTGAACTCATGTTCATAGTTCATTGGTTCATGATGTAAATTTTGTGTTTTCTGTTTTTTAGGTACTATAAGCAATATGTCAACTATATTTGGTGTATGGAATATCAATCAGTCTGTCTGTTCGTCCATCCGAATATAGATATATGATATATCTGGCTATCTCCTCCTACAGTATTTGAGCTACAGCTTTAGTATTTTGTAGGTTGTTTGTACACATAGTGGAATTGTACATGTCCACAGGTTTTTTTCTTAATATTCTCAAAATGTGTGGTATTTGGACTTAGTAAGTTTCAGCTCACATGGTAGTTAAGTGTAGCCATCCATGTTTGTTAACTTTTACAAAAATACTCATCTCTGAAACTAGTAATCAAAATTTACGTTGTTTTGCAGCTGAACAATCCATGTGTGAATGATTCAACAAATATTTCCTCTATTCAACCAACATTAGTCAGTAATGAAGAAAACGTCAGTTCTTCAGTTGTAAGTAGATAATCATGATAAAAAGGTAGAAAGCAAGCTTCCTTTTCAGCCAACAATACATATAGATAAAAGCAACAATATGTCACTGTTCACTAATTTTTGTTTTATTGTTTTAAGGATTAACAATAATTCATTGTTTGAAAAAAATATTTGTGGCCAAATATCTATAACTTGATAATATTTCATTTTTATGAAATTTTGTATGCATTTAGAACTCTTCGAACTAATACTTCATTTGAGTATAAAAAATATGAAATATATATTTAGCGTTGATAATTCAAGAGGTACAATCAATATAATTAGCAAAGTAGATCTTTAAAAGTATAGAATAAAATTGAGAATGGAAATGGGGAATGTGTCAAAGAGACAACGAATCGACCAAAGAGCAGAAAAGAGCCGAAAGGCGACCAATGGGTCTTCAACACAGTGAGAAAATCCCGCACCTGAGGCGTGCTTCAGCTGGCCCCTAAACAAACATGTGTACTAGTTCAGTGATAATGGACGTCATACTAAACTCCGAAATATATAAATGAACTAAAATTAAAAATGCGTACGTAAAAAGTGGTGAAAAATATGCATTTGTATATGCCTGTTTACTGGACTTATTATGGTATACTGTTGCCTGTCTGTCTGTCGTCAACATGTTGGACAATAACTCAAAAAATGCTTAAATCAATTTTGCATGGTGAATTGTTTATATCTATTGATGAAAGCTCCTTTTTGATTTTTTAAACTTTAGATTCTACTTGTCCAAGTTATGGGGCTTTATTCATTAAAAGGGGGAATTTTCCATTTTTCTGAAAGTTTCTGATATGACATTGAGGAGTTATGTAACTTTATTCTTTAAAAAAGCAACTAGTGTATCATGGGCTCATGGCACAGCTCTTGATTTAACTTTAAATTGCATTTCTCAAAATTATGTCCTCAGAATTTTGATTAGAAATTATATGTTATGAATATTTCCGTTTTATTAGTATAAGATAAAAGTGCTCAACTGATTCTTTATTTCAGTAGAAATCACTCATAAGTTTGATATATAGAATGAAAAAAGGGTCAAATATAAATGATTGAGACAGCAACAATTCATCTGATAACTCCTTTGGTTGTCTATAGCAAGTTAAGTTTCAGGATGATATTCAAGTACTGCTTAACCAAAATCAATTTGATGGTTTTGACATTTACCATTCAAGACTTGTGCCCTCAGTTACCTTAAGATTTGTTTTAATTACAGATCAAGATAACAGTACTGCTTAGCCAAATCTTTTTATGACACTATTTCAATTTTTATTTTCTTGAAGTATGTATTTAAAAAAAAATGATCTATACAAAATAAGGCTGTTTTGAACAATTTGTAGCTTGAAAAATAGCACAGTGACCCATACTTTTTACTTTAATTATTTGAAAACCATGGTACAATCTACATTTTTAAAAGAATAAGAAAAAATCTATCTGAGGATATATATAGTGATGGTCATTATCGTTTTGGTTTAAAGGTGATATCAAAAATAAAAATAAGAAGATGTGGTATGATTGCCTATGAGACAACTCACCACAAGAGACCAAATGACACAGAAATTAACAACTATAGGTCACAGTACAGTCTTCAGGTTGCACTTCTGTAAATATAATTTGCAATTTCACATAGGAACTTCCTTTGCAGCTAAAACTGTGCCTCAGAATTAGATAATCACCGCTACCATGAGTTTTAAGACTGGTAACATTCCCAAGTTATGTCTCTTTGAGATGAAACATAGAGATCAAATCTGGGAACCAGTACATAAACATAACAAAATATTTATGAATATTATATATCTCCCAAAAAGAGGTATCGCTTGTGAAACAGGTGTATTTGAAAAGTGCAACCTTCAAACCAGTGTTTTACAGTATCTTTTTGATTTTAACACATTGCTATGAAACATGAAATACAGGTCACATTCAGTTTGAATTTTCATTTTTGCATTTATCATTTTGGGATATATGTGATCACTAGATCACTTAGTCATAGTTGCATTAATCCTTTATTAATAAATGGAGGAAAATACAAACTTACCAATATTGGTAATGATAAAAATAATATGCAATAATTTTTCTTTTAATTAGACTGGTGATAGCAATAATGAAAAAGCAATATATGATGGAGCTGAAGAAGAAACTGAAATGTTTTTATGTAGAGGTAAATTGTATGAACAAAAGACCAAAGTTACTATATCTTTATAGGGTAAAATCAAATATACCCTCACATAACCATGCCATTATGCACTTCCTATTTTTTTCTTGGTACAAATCATTTTTGGGTTGACCTTAGCTTTAAATGATATAATGCTGGCAATTTTGTTTCATGTCCAAATATTGATCTATTCTATTACTTTTTGTCATTATCGTTCTTTTAACTTATTCAGGAGGAGGGTATGCTGCGTTACCTCAGCATATTAATAATTAAAAGAAGATGTTGTATGATTGCCAATGAGACAACTCTTCACAAGTTACCAAATGACACAAAAATCAACAACGATATGTCACCGTACGGCCTTCTGCGATGAGCAAAGCATATACCGCATAGTCAGCTATAAAAGACCTAAATGACAAATGTAAAACAATTCAAACGAGAAAAATAACGCCCTAATTTTTTGTTAAAAAAATAAACGAAAAATAAATATGTTTTAAACACAATAACAAACGACAACCACTGAATTACAGGCTCCTGACTTGGGACAGGCACATACATACTGAATGTGGCAGGGTTAAACATGTTAGCCGGATCCAAACCCTCCCCCTGACCTTGGTGCATAAACAAACAAAGTATTAGCTGCATATAGCTACAATTTGTCAAAGGAAGTCTTCATAGTTGCAAGTTAGCTAGTATCATATATATATATATAAAATATAATATAATAATAATTCCATTCTTACAGCGAATGGCAAACCAAAAAGACCTTGTGTGTTTTGTGGAAAATTTCAAACTCATCTGACCAGACATCTAAAAACAAAACACAAGGGAGAAGAGGATGTAATAATTGCAATGCAACTCCCACCAATGGATAGGAACCAGGCATTTGATGTGTTAAAGAGAAAAGGCTACCATAATTATAATTTATTGAAAATGAAAGAGGATGATTTTAACGAAAACAAATTGATTAAAGAACGAAAACCAAGAAAAAACAGAGATGGTGAGATAGAGAAAAGAGCAATGTGCTCTTCTTGCAAAGGTTTTTTTGTAAAAGAACATATGAAGAATCACAAAGTAAAATGTTTTGCAGCAGAAGGATGCACGAGGGTACCTGTTGCTATACCCATAGAAACTGTTAAAGATGTCAAATACTCAGAAGAATATAAAGAAGATATTTTGAGTTCCTTTTGGGATGACCAGAGCGGAAGATTCTGTAGAAGTGATCCATATATAAAAGATTTTGGTTTTCATTATTATAGGAAGATGGTATCAAGAAAAGACAAGTCCCAGCAAAATAGGAAAAGCATTATGAAGCAGATGAGAACAATTGCCAATTTATATTTCTTTGTAAAAGGAGAGGCTGAAAAATCAGGTATAACTGTAACATCTGCATTAGATCTTTTTAAAATGGAGAACTTTCATATTTTTATGGATGGAATTAATTCAATGGCAGCAAAAGATGACGGAGGGATGAAGTCAGGACTGAAAAAGAATGTTGGTCATCTTATACAGAATGTCCTTACACACTTGAAGGGACAATATATTTTACAAAACAAGAAAGATGAAATGAGTAAAGTTGATGATTTCAAAACATTATTAGAATATTATAAAGGAGAAATATTTAGTGATGCTGAATATAATTGCAAAAAAAATAGGCAAGAAAACTTGAGACGACCTCAACAGTTACCAGTAGAGGATGACATTAATAAGCTTAGGCAGTTTATCTTAACACAAATAAAAGAGTTGGATGACCCTTATAAGTTTTTAGAACCAAATGAATATACCTTTCTCAGAGATCTTATAGTTAGTAGACTAACATTATTCCATGCAAAAAGAGGAGGGGAACCAAGTAGACTAACTTTAAAAGAATGGATAGATGCAAAGGAGGATGCATGGGTAGATGAAAACCAAATGAAAAAGGTAAAAAATCCAGAGGAGTTGGAACTTTTACAGAAATATAAATTGACATATCAATCTGGTAAATGTGTTAGTCACCTACTCCCAATTCTTATCCCTGAAGACACATGGAAGGCCATGACAAAACTAACAGATCAGCAAATTAGACAAGCAGCAGGTGTTAAACAAACTAATTTATATGTATTTCCTAATATTAAAGATTCAAACTTTCATGTATGCGGCTGGAAAAGTGTTAACAAAATTTGTAAGAAGGCAGAATTATCAAAAAGGATTAATGCTACTCAGATGAGGCATTACATGTCAACTGTATTTGCCAATTTGGAGGTTGCAGATGCTACAAAAGAAGCCTTCTACAGACATATGGGACATTCTGAAGAAGTTAACAAACATGTTTATCAGTGCCCATTGGCAATACAAGAAATAACTAAAGTGGGGAAGTTTTTTTACCAATTTGATTTAGGTGAGTTAAATCGCATAACATATTGATTTCGCATGGTCCAAACATCAGATTTATAGCTATCCTGATCTAAACCTTTTATTCTATCAAACAAGACAGTTACATTTTACTCCCAAAATAGTTTAAAATACCATTTCTGAGAAAGCCGCAGAATGCAAGATATAAGGATTACTGTCTGTCAGCATTGACAGCAGAGTAAACTAATTATATACAAATTTATATTTCAGAAAGTAGAAGACCTGGGTGCTTCATATCTTGTTTGCAGATACCTTATGTTACGAAGTTTCTGTCTGTCATGTGTCCATTGTCCTTGACCTCATTTTCATAGTTCAATGACTGCATACAAAAAATGAATAAATTTGTTTATCATTTAAAATACTCACTTATCATGAGTAATAGGATAACTATATTTTGAATACAGGACCTTTGCAAGGTGTACATGTCTGTACATGTCTGTCAGACAGGGTTCACCAGACCTTGACCTGAGACATTTATGTATCAGTCATCAAGGTGAAGTTTTCATGGTCAAGTCCGACTATAAGCAGTAGATCAACTATATTTGGGGTATTGAATGATTCAATGGTGTACAGGTTTCATCTGACTCTACCTCACTTTCATGGTTCATTTGTCACTTTTAAGTTTCATCCGATTGTCTTTTTCTGAATTTTATGCCAAGATTACTGGTGAGACATATCTCTGTGTCAACAGTTTATTTTATTATGATGTTAGGTTTGCAAAAGTGTTTCATAGGTTTTGTTTAAATAACAATTGCATTGTTTCTGTTTCAGATTCAGGTAATATAACAGCAGAAGAGCAACCCAACAGTCAAGGTATTATTTTCTGATATAGGGGCATTAGTATTATTTCCTCCTTTTTTCATTAAAAGCACTCCTTAAAAAAAAGCAAGCTACGCTTCTACTTTTTGGACAAGAGGTGTTTTTTTTTTATTAATTTGCCTACTCAATTAATCATGCAAAATATAAATAAAAATTTTAAATGGGTCAAGTTCACTTTTTGTCATCTATACAAATTTTAGGTTAAACAGATTTAGAAATTATTGTGATTATTGAACAATCGAAACGAATGCAAGTTTGATTATTGAGATTTATGGAAAAGCTGCATATAAATAATGCTATCAAATTTTTAGATGGGAGTTTTGCGAGTCCTATCTCGCCACAATTTTCCCAATAATAAAAAACATGGTAAAAATGTCTGACTCTACAGTTAGATAACAAATTTATGTCAATCAAAGAACACTATTCGAACATTCTAAATCTTCTTAAGTCTCCAGCCATTGTTTCGTAATAAGTTGCTAAAATATGATTTCCAGTAAATAAAATATCATAAATATTTGTCAAATCCATCAGTAATTATGTTATTTAGGCATATAAACTCTTGACAAATTTCGTCTTATTAATAACAATCATGAAAAAATATAGTTTTTTCATAATTGGATCGTGCATTATTTGTGTATTGGATTGCTTAATTGCCTTCTCTCTAATGTTATCTCAGTTTTTGTTTACTGACAAATGACGAAATAATGCAATATTTAAAATTTAGTATTTTACAAAACTTTGTCCCGATTAAAAACTTAAAACCGACTGAATAAATTGAGAATTCAGTGATTATCGTTGTTGAAATTAGCCCTTGGTAATAAACAGTCAGTTTGGGTATAAATATGTTTATTGCCAAGAAATAACTAACAAATTTGTTTATTATGTATGTACAAAGTATACATATATTGCTTGATCAGCCCTCCTGTATATTACTTGTTTTTTTTAATTGATTCAACAAATTTCCCTTGTCCAGGTGTCATTAACGGTGATGTCCACACCAGGAGTAGTTTGATATAAATGACACAATACCACCGCGACCAATCGATAATATAAGACAAATCTGCGTGCCGTGTGCAGAGTGTCGTTCCTCCTCTAACTATCTACCACAGTTCAAATTTGTAATAATAAAAAAACAGTAGACAGCTCTCTCACAAGCAAAAAACCCTTAACTGTTAAATTTAAGGGCATGCAAAAAACCCTGCAAGCTCTATTAAAATAAGGAGATGTGGTATGATTGCAATTAGGACAACTAAACCTGTCCACCCAGTTATTTATTCTACTTTTATTTGATATTTTGGAAGTATGTATGGAGAGCAATTCTCTCATTGAATTTTAACCAATTCTATCTTTAAACCTTTCCTCAAAATTGAGTTTCTCCTATATAACCCATATACCATAATAGTGATTTGGTTAATTTCAATGTAATTTAAACGGAAAAAAAAGATCTGTGACTCCAAGTTTTTATATTGAAATTTGAAAGTACATTGACCCAGAAGTCTTTTATGGTAATTTAAGAAAAATCTATCCCCAAACTTCTAGACACCCTAGGTACCATTATACTGTTTTATGGAATTATTTGGATAGGTGAATGAACTCTTGATTTTGAAAATGTATTTTTTGTCATTCCAGAGTTATAGGACCTTTTACAGTCATTATTGACAGTACATATATATGCCTAATGGTATCCTCATGTATATTTTCTACAGAGCAATTTTATTTGCCTCTGATTAAATGCCTTTAAATACCCCATTTTATTTTGGCAACAATTTCAATATGCATATTATAAGGGCTTACCATGTTCTCTTGACCTGTTGAATCTATTATTTACTGACAATGGATTATTTCACAAATTAGTGTTTGGACAATTCTATATAAATCAACATATTTCAATATATTCTGTTGTCTATATCTACTTTGTATTTTAGAGGATGTCGCAGGACCATCATCACTGAATGACAACAAGTGTGCAAAAAGTGAAGGTAAATATTCATTAAATTGCATTTCTTGGGATTGAACTAATGCCTTAGTATAATAAAAGTAACAAAACATGAAAAATTTATATTAATGCAATTAAATTCACAAACCATTGCAGTGTGAAAAAATTGCCAAGAAAGGATCTCTGTATTTTATACAGATAAATAAAAGGAATTTTTCAATGTTGTGCAGTAGCTTTAGTATGCATGTATGGTGAATGTACTCTTGATTTTGAAATTTTTTGGTTTATCATTCCAGATCAAGATTTAACACTCATAATTGACACAATATATATATATGCCTTATGGTATGCTCATCCTGATTTTTAAACGCCCGTTTACGGGACGTATTATGGTATACCTTTATCCATCTGTCCATCGTCAACATGTTGGAAAATGACTCAAAAACGCTTGAACCAATTCGCACAAAACTTTGGTAAATTGTTAATATCTATTGATGTGAGCTCCCTTTCGGTTTTTATAAATTTTAGATTTTAAGTTTCCGAGTTTTGGGTTTTTCTTCATTAAAAATGGGGAGTTTTCCAGTTTTTGGACAATAACTCAATACACTTTGACCAATTTGCAAGAGACCTTGGTGAATTGTTCATATCTATTGACATGAGCTCCCTTTTGATTTTTATAAATTTTAGATTTAAGGTTTTAAAGTTATGGGGTTTTATTTATTAAAAAAAGGGGAATTTTTAAACTCAAAAATGCTTTCATAATTGTTTATATCTATTGATGTAAGCTCCCTTTCGATTTTTTAAAATTTTAGATTTTACGTTTCGGAGTTATGTGCTTTTATTCATAAAAAAGGGGGGATTTTCCAGTTTTCGGACAATGCTTGAACTTTGGTGACTGGTTTATATTTATTTAGATAACCTCCCTTTAGTTTTTCATGAATTTCTGATATGACATTGAGAAGTTATTGAACTTTATTCTTTGAAAAAGCGACGGGCGTATCATGCGCTCATGGCACAGCTGTTTATCTATGGAGTCATTATATTTGCTTCTGATTAAATGATTAAAAGTGCTCTTGCACTAGCAGTGCTGAAGTCTTTGTTTTTTACAATGCAATCGCATATATCTCCCTTTGTATTAAAAAGTCAATGGTTTTAACATGTTTTGTTAAAAAAAAAATGCTCTTTGTCTTTGAATTAATTTCTATATTTATAAATGAAAAATTGATGTTTCACCAACTTTGTAAAAATTTAAACTTGCAGATGACAAGTTACTTACACCTGGGGGACTAGTTATTGCTTTTGGTGAGTGTGAACTCATTTCCTAAGTCACTCAGTACTGTGAACAATGGGGGTGGGGGAGGGGGCTTCCTTTATTGTTTTGATGAATATTAAACCCACACATTACCAAAAATTACCGATTTTTTTCTGAAATTTAAAAAAAAAAACAAATAGTTACATACACAACTTATGTTCAAGTCGGTTCCCAAACTCATGCATACAAACTTTTTTTGTTTAAGCTACTGTTTGGTTTGAAGTTTGTCATTTATTTTCAGAGTTTTCTATGCAGACTGATTGGAAAATAATCTTAAAAAAAAATTGCCAATTTAACCATCCTGGTTGACAATATAATTTATGATATTTAAACTCATAGATTTATTTTAACTTGTGAACACAGATTCTAGCATTAGATGAATTGAAAAAAAAATTGATGAGTCAATTTACTGCTAGTTATTGAAGTCAACTGTTTTTAGGTCATGTAGGTAGAATATTTATAAATGAATTTGTTATAATAGTTTTATTGATGTCCAATACTCAAAATGATCAATATTTGTACAATAATTTGTATTGTAATGGTATGCATTCATTAATTTAGATAATTACATGTAGCATATTTTCAATTTATAGTACATGTACACATATACATGTATTATGTTTGTATATAAAATTACAGGATTATTGTTTTTTTTTCCTTTTAGAGGATGAAGGTAGCAGTGAATTGACGAAAAGTACTGAAAAGAAAGGACAAAAGAAATGTAATATGTATTTTCTTACTTTTAATTTTGAGTTGCACAAAATTACTAGGCTAAGCATAATTAACCACCTCAATTATATGCTTTAAATTATCACTTAAATGTATGAAATGGCTGCGAAAGTACTTTAAAATATCAAATTACACCATTTATTATTACGATAATATGTTTTACCTTTCAGATTTTTTAGTCTGCAACGTTTTAAGTTCTCATACCAAATATCTTGAATATGCATGAAATATTTGCCACTAGACATTTAGCAACCAACAATCCAAATCATACCAATTGAAGTTGGTGTTTTTAAATGTTTTAAATGTTTTCATTAGGGGATGTTTTTTTCCAGATTTGTTTGTTTAAAAAAAATATCAAGTTAGAAATTCAGTGGCAAAACAAATAACCCAAGAACATTAGAAAAGTAACTATTATTTGAGTACATTTTGGAGAATTGTAATTTGATAGTAGTATACAAAAAAAACATCATATATTGCACTTTTATCTTCTGTTTGTTTCAACAACATTTATTTCTATTTTTGACAAAATTTTAAATACAAACAGGGGAGGTAGTATTTGACACCAGATTCCAACAGTTCAAGCAGAATAGCCATTGAGAAAATTTACATTACACATTTCCTTCAAAAGCTTATTTAAACTAATTAGCAATTTTATAATTGTTCAGAAAAGAATTCAATGAACATATGTTTATATAAGGTTATCTGTTAAAATATAACTTCTGATAATTACTTTTCAGTTGTGATATACAGTTCTTCAGAGAATGATTCTAGTATAGAAAGTGACTCAGAGAATGATTCTAGTCCAGAAAGTGACTATAGTACAGATTATAGTGAAGGTATATATTTTGGCTTGCTTGAACACAAAATGAAAAATATAAGGATGTGTGGTATAATTACAAATGAAATAGTTTAATCTAACAGAGAATAAGTGATGTGGGTGTAATCAAATATAGGTCAAGGTAAAGCCTTCAATGATGAGCAAAAACCAGTACAATAATGTTAAGGGAGCAGGTTGAAAAAGGTACCATCTTGGGTAATTTACTAATTCTAGGATATTCAAAAAATTTTACAGAAAGATTGCACCCTTATTAAAGTTTTGCAATTTCTCAAATGGCATTTCTTTAATAATTTCCTGCACATCGTTCCAGAATTTGGAACTATTGTAAATAAGGATATTTGGTAATAATATTAATTTGTATTTTTTAACTAATTTGATTCGTTCAGAGATAGTCACATGTTAAACTATATCTTCGAAGGTAGAGAGAAAACGGCGGATAGCAAAAAGCATATTGCACAGCAAATAGCATATTGCACGGTTATTTTTAGAATATCTAAAAACCAATATACTTTGTGATGTCATGTAATGAATTTCATGATATTGTTAAAAGTTTTATAAAAAAATATTTATGATCGATTATTTGAAGAAAAAAAATCTTCATATACATAAGATGTAAAAAAAAAAAGTAAATGAAATAACAACTTATATGTTGTTATTGTCTTGGAGACAATATGATATCTAAAAAATTCCAACAAAATCAAAAAATCAAATTAGGATTTTGATACAAATATGGTCAGAAATTAATAATTATAGCCTATTGATGAGGTCAATACAGGATATATCGACCAAAAGAAGTATATCGATCTAGGACTTCGTCCTAAGTCCATATACTTCTTTCAGGTCAATATATCCTTGTATCGACCTCATACAAAGGCTATAATTGTATATTATTGCCATGGATGTGATCAAATAATTTGTATATCCCAATCAAACAATTCAAAAACCTTGGTTTAATAACGCCTTAGAGATAATCAACCCTCCTAAAAAGAATTCCAGATCGGAAACCCTTGTCTCATTCTTTTTAGAATACTAACATCAACACTAATCAATTTCACAATGGAAGTGGATTTCTACATACAAATAAAACTGTTTGAATGAAAATAATAGAAAAGACCATTCAATTCAACAGGCACTCATGATTTTTTACTTATACCAAAACTATGTCTAGTCTACAACAGGATAAAACTAACATTAGTCAGTATATAGCAGTGAAAACACAATTGACAGAAATATGAAGTAGGCAATATAATGTTGCTATTCCTAGTCATAATGTGAAAATAGATCAAAGAATACAATTCCTGATTTTAACACAATCTTGATATTGCCCATTCAAAGAAATATTTGCTGTAGCCAAAGTACCTCTATCTTTAGTTTTTATGATTCACTGAATGCAACTTGTCACCATAATTTTTCTTCTAATGAACAACACAAAGGTTACAACTAGTGAAGCTGGAAATGTTTATCATAGAAAAGCATTTGAGGAATATTTCCTGACTTTTGGTAATGTTATGCTTTGGCTTGGTATCTTCTTACCTTTTCTATGGTTAAGATCAGGACACTGACATGAAACTACATTTGAATACCTTTTACAGTAAACCACTATTTTATTCAAAGGCATTTATTATGTCAGTAACCAAATTTAGATTTAATAGTGATTTAAAATATCCATATATACATACAGTTTTATTCCTATAAATACATAATTGTAGTTGCCAAGTTTATTTTGACATGCACTGCAATTAGTATTGCAACAACCATGGTTGAGGGATTCATAGCATATTTTTCTTTAAAATTTCATGTTTCTTTTTTTTCCTTATTAGGCAACAGTTCACAAAAGAGAGGGATGAAAAGGAAAAGTGAAGGTAATAGACATAATTTGTTAAGTATTATAGATCATGTGGATATTAACTATTATAAATTTTTATCAACAAATTTTGTTTGAAATATATGAATGTATGAATTTCTATACATTAGCTATAATCATTTGAATTATATCAAATTCATTCTAATTAGAAAATTTATTGTTTGGTTGGTTGACTTATGAGTATGAATCTTTCCTTGGTAATTTCCTCTCTTTTTAAATTGCAGATGGCCAAATTGAAGAACAAATCAGAAGTAAAAAGAAAGGTAAGTTTTAAAAAAATGTTACCATATTTCCTTAATTTTATGAAAGTTTCAATATTGAGTAAGATATAATTTGAACTTTAAAAGTTTAGGTTTTTTATGGCACTCCTCTGAAACTACTGGGTTTGTCATTGAATTTGTACCTTTATTGAAACAGTGCTTAGAGACCATAGTAATTTTCATTGTAGGAAGGAGATATGTTAATTGGAATCAGGAGGATGCAAAGGTTGTAAGAACATACTTTAAGGATTATGTCCAAGATGTGTCTAAAGAAAAGTCCAAAGGATCACTACCTGGTATGTTATACAATAAAAGGTTTCAGTATGAAAAAAGTATTCTTTGACACTGCCTAAGTTTTTAGCTCACCTGGCCAAAAGGGCCAAGTGAGCTTATCTCAGCACTTGGTGTCCGTTGTCTGTTGTTAACTTTTACAAAAATCTTCTCCTCTGAAACTACAGGGCCAAATTTAACCAAACTTGGCCACAATCATCATTGGGGTAGTGAGTTTAAAAAATGTGTCAGATGACCCGGCTTGCCAACCAAAATGGCCACCATGGCTTAAAATAGAACATAGGGGTGAAATGTAGATTTTGGCTTATATCTCTGAAACTAAAGCATTAAGAGCAAATCTGACATGGGGGTAAAATTGTTCATCAGGTCAAGATCTGTCCGCCCTGAAATTTTCAGAAAAATCAGACAACGCATTGTTGTGCTGGTAATTTTTTTAAAAATTTTGCAGTTTTTGGTTATGATGTTCAATATTATTATAGATAGAGATAAACTGTAAACAGCAATAATGTACATCAAAGTAAGATCTAAAAATAAGTCAACATTACCACAATGGTCAATTGACCCCTTAAGGAGTTTTTGCCTTTTATAGTCAGTTTTTAACAATTTTTTGTTAATATTTGAAATCTTTTTCAAAAATCTTCTCCTCTGAAACTACTGAGACAAATTTAACCAAACTTGGCCACAATCATCATTTTGGTAAAATTGAGAATGGAAATGGGGAATGTGTCAAAGAGACAACAACCCAACCATAGAGCAGACAACAGCCAAAGGCCACCAATGGGTCTTCAATGCAGTGAGAAACTCCCGCACCTGGAGGCGTCCTTCAGCTGGACCCTAAACAAATATGTATACTAGTTCAGTGATAATGGACGTTATACTAAACTCCAAATTATACACAAGAAACTAAAATTAAAAATGATACAAGACTAACAAAGGTCAGAGGCTCCTGACTTGGGACAGGCGCAAAAATGCGGTGGGGTTAAACACAGGGCTTCCAAAATTATTTTTAGCCAGCCGGACATTTTATATATTAACCCGATTTTAATCCCTTAAGACTAAATAAAGAAAAGGCAATTATGGTAATCATGCAGTTGCTGAGTTGGCCATCCCAATGATTGACATTAAAAAAAAACGATATTAAACTTTCTTTGAATCAAATTTGAAGTTCTGGCGTAAACTGTTAAATTGGCAGTACATCATTCGAAGTGTGCAACATCACCGTACTTATATCTGCCTTAGACTTTTTATTTGTGCAAAATAACGTTGTCATAAACTTTACTTTCGTTTTTAAATCTACCGGATGTTATCTTGAAAATGGTAAAACATGGACCAGAGACGGATACGTAAATTCCGTGTACGTTTGCAAAGCATGAATGAGTGTATAAGTAGCTCATTCTACGTTATTTCTTCAAGAAAATATTCGAAATAAACGTGAGATAAAGGTATCAATGACAATTTAAGCATTTTTTGAAGAAATTAGGATGCATAATTAAAATTTCACACCTGCGCACACGTGTACTAGAACAGAGACATGTCGCTGGTTCAAACAACGTGGTTATGACGATTTTTCATTTTCACCATTTTAATTTTTTCATCAAATCATATTTGTAAATGTATTTCTGATAATTTAAATCTTTTTAACTAAATTAATCAGATGCAAACCGGTGAAATGTAAGAAAATAACTTTGAATAGACCGATCAATGTCCGGTTCAAAATAGTTTACCTGTCACCTGAACAGGTCAATTTCAGCTGTTCGACAACTAATTAGCCTTGATTAACATGAGAAGGTATTAAAGTAGGGTTTGTTTTGATAGTACTTAATGATCATGTCACTTTTATGACCGGAAATGTGTGGCTGTTAAAGGCAAAAGGTTGGGTCAAAAAGATCGCGAATTATGTTAAAAATTATTGTGACCCTCTAAAAAAGCCTTGAAAACTAAAAAGTAGATGACCGTTTCGTGCTTTTCCCAGCCGGACTTTTACCGGACATTATACAAATGTCCAGAATATATGACCGTTTTGGAAGCCTTGGTTAAATATGTTTTTTGAGATCTCAACCCTCCCCCTATACCTCTAGCCAATGTAGAAAAACAAACGCACAACAGTCACACAGTAAAACTCAGTTTAAGAGAAGTCTGAGTCCAATGTCAGAATAGGAAACAAAAGAGACAATAATACATAAATAACAACAGACTACTAACAGTTACTGACATGCCAGCTCCAGACCTCAATTAAACTGATTGAAAGATTATGTCTTCATCATATGAATATCAGGCACAACCCCTCCTGTCTTCATCATATGAATATCAGGCACAATCCCTCCTGTAAGGGGTTTAGTATTATACCATCATAAAATATATGAGAAGAACATAACCCGTGTCATGCCAACAACTGGTTTTAGAATAAATGTTTAATTCCGATGTAAAGACCCTATAAGTAAATCAATATTAAAGCCAAAATATGCAATCTTTAATGACCTGACAACAGTATCGTAACTATATCCCTTCTTAATAAGTCTGTTTAAAGGTTTTGTTAGCTTTTGAGGTGAATACTGACTTTTTTGTGCTTTGTAAAGAATATTACCATAAAAGATTGGATGTGAAATACCCGAACATATAAGATGTCTGCATGTTGAGTTATATTTACGAATGATGTCCTTATACCGATGATAAAATTTAGTAAATGTTTTGACTAGTTTATGATATCCAAAACCCTTGTGTAATAATTTTTCAGTAATACATAAATTTCTCTCGCTAAAATCTAATACGTTGTTACATACACGAGCGAATCGTACAAGTTGAGATATATAAACACCATAAGATGGTGACAAGGGAACGTCACCATCTAAAAATGGATAATTAACGATAGGAAATGAAAAATCATCTCTTTTATCTAGTTTTAAAAATATGTTCGATGATCCCACCTACCAATCAACATGGCCCACATGGCTAAAATGCGAGTTTAGTCTATTATTTTTTGAACCGTTATAGATAGAGAAAATCTGAAAGGAGCAAAAATGTTCAGATTAATGAGCTCTACCAATTTTCCGTACACGTCAAAACTGTAAGACAAATTCTTTTAGGAGTTATTGCCCATAAATGACAAATTTTACCATTTGTTTTCATTTTTGCCTATTATCATTCAAACAATAATATTTAGAGGGAAACATTTTTATCCCGTTATGCCTTATATGATTTAAATTATAATATAAGATAAATAGACACTTTAAATCACAAAAATGATCAGCAAGGCAAGATCTATTAAAAAGTCAAGTTTTGCCGATATAGTTAGTAGACTGTCACTCTTCATAGGAGTGATTGCCCTTAAATGAGGATTTTTTTACTCTCTTTTGTTTTTTGAGCTAAAACTAAAGAAGATAGAGAGAAACCAAACAGACTAAAAGATCAGTAATACAAGATCAACAAAATAGAGATTTTTGTCATGAAGTCTATTCTCATCTACAATGTTGAAGAATGTCCTTTGTTTGATATGCACATAGACCAGGGTGAGCGACACAGGCTCTTTAGAGCCTCTAGTTTAATTTCAACATTTGCATTATCAAAATTATAAAAAGGCGAGACATATCTCTGTGTTAACAGTTTATTGTGTTGAACATTAAAAACTTTAAAAAAATCTTCAAATAATATTGTATTTCAGGTTATAAGGCCATTGAAGTATTTATGAAAACATATCCAAAAGTAATGGCCAATGAAACAGACCCTGTTATTAGGAGAGATCTAATAAAATACAAAGTCTTCAATGAAAGAAATAAGACCAGGAAAAATTATCAGCAGAGGAAGAATAAATTTTCCATGTAAGGTATGTGTTAATTTTAATGAATTAACTGTTTATAAACTTTGAATTGTTTGAAATACTTTATCTACCCCAGAAATAGATTACCACAGCTCCAAGTGGCAAAACCTTTCATAATCAGACTCAGAACTAACAACAACAATACTTTATATTTAGAGGGTAACACAGTTAGCTGTTTAACTGATCTTCCCTCAGGCCCTCGTCATAGAAAAAGCATTAACAAAAATGCAACATAAATGGCATACATTAGTATGAAAGTCAAGTATAATGAAAATTTTCAATACAACTCCAGAAAATGATATGAAAAAATAAACATGATGAAAAATATTCAATATTTTATCCACTGGTTGAATTCAATAAATGATCTGTTATTGTCCCACGCATAACGAATTGCCGGGGACATGGATATACCGCACATCCGTCTGTCCGTCCCGTCTTGTTAGTGCTCTCATGGGTACAATTCATGCCAGATTTTTTTTATAAGAAGGGCCCTAGGTGAGCTTATGCCATCACTTGGCATCCATCGTCGTCGTCTGTTGTCGTCGTAAACTATTTCAAAAATTTTCTCCTCTGAAACTACTGGGCCAAATACCCTAAAACTTTACCTGTTTGTTCCTTAGGGTATCTAGTTTATAATTGTATCCGAAGTTTTGATCCATCAAAAACATGGCGGCCATGGCTAAAAATAGAACATAGGGGTCAAATGCAGTTTTTGGCTTATATCTCAAAAACTAAAGTATTTAGAGCAAATCTGACATGGTAAAAAATAGGTCAAGATCTATCAGCCCTGAAATTTTCAGATGAACAGAAAAACTCATTCTGGGGTTGCTGCCACTAAGTTTGTAATTGTAATTGTAATTGTAAGGCCAACCAACATGGCTGACATGGCTAAAAGTAGAACATAGGGGTAAAATGCAGTTTTTGGCTAATATCTCTGAAACTATAGCATTTAGAGCAAATCTGACAAGGTATAAAATTGTTTATCAGGTTGAGATCTATCCGCCCTGAAATTTTCAGACGAATCAGACAACTAGCAGTTGGGTTGCTGCCCTTAAATTGGTAATTTTAAGAAAATTTTGCAGTTTTTGGTTATAATCTTGAATATTATAATAGATAGAAATAAACTGTATACAGCAATAATGTTCAGAAAAGTAAGATCTACAAATAAGTCAACATGACCAAATTTGTCAATTGACCCCTTAAGGAGTTATTGCCCTTTATAGGCAATTTTTAACATTTTTTTTTATAAATTTTGGTAATCTTTTACAAAAATCTTCTCCTGAAACTACTGGGCCAAATTTAACCAAAATTGGCCACAATCATCATTAGGGTATCTAGTTAAAAAAATGTGTCCAATGACCCCACCTGCCAACCCAACATGGCCGACATAGCTAAAAATAGAACATGGGGGTAAAATGCAGTTTTTGGCTTATATCTCTGAAACTAAAGCATTCAGAGCAAATCTGACAAGGGGTTAAAATATTCATCAGGTTAAGATCTATCTGCCCTGACATTTTCAGACGAATCAGACAACCTGCAGTTGGGTTGCTGCCCCTGAATTGGTAATTTAAAAGTCAGTACATACTACTATTTATTAGGTCTTTCCTTTTTTCTGTGGAAAGTCCTTTTGATTTTGTTCTGATTATTAGGTCTTTCTTTTTTTTTTTCTTCCGCCAAATTTTGATCTTGTGTTCAATATTTGTTTCACAATATGTGGCTAAGATATTTCTTACATTGTATTGTAGTTTCTGCGCTTTTAAATTTCACCCTGCTAAGCTGAACAATTTTCTTTGGAAGAGTCATCTCCCCATTAACTGTTTATCTTGTGTGTGCATCTCCCTTGTTACAAAAAAAGATATCGACAAAATTCTTTTTCTATATTGTTCTTTACATCCTCAGGATTTTTTGGCTGATTTAAATTGAAGCGATCATGTGAAATCTTAAAGGAGTTGTCTCCTTTTACCAAACAAATTTGTCGTTATCTTTTTGTAACTCATAAACCATTAGCTGTATAAACCTAAAGTCTTTTTATTTGAGGCCCCTGGGTCTTAACTTAGAAAATGAGGTTAAGGTCATGTTCTCAAATTTGATATTTCCTCATTTTTGCATTTTCTCTAACACTTTTAAAGATATATATATAAAAGAACTAGTGCAAAATGTTTGCACTATTGTGACGAAGATTTGATACATTTGGTCTGAAACAATCCAATAACATCTAATAGGAGTTATTGCCCCTGAAATGTTTTAATCTACGGTTAATTGATTATGTTTCTTCAACTTCATTCATAATAACGCCATTGGGTCTTTTTCAAAATATTGGATGACTTATGACCTTAAAAAATGTCAACCGAAAGTGCACCTTTAGGGAAATCGGAAGTAGCCCTTTTTGCACTATTTTCAAGGAAAGGTACTTAGAATCCATATATTTTTTTATACGACCGCAAATTTTTTTGCGTTTTATAATGCTATGATGTCATCGTCGGCGTCCTCCGAAGACACATTTGGTTTCCGGGCAATAACTTTAGTTTAAGTTAATGGATCTCTATGAAATTTTACCAGAAGGTTCAATACCACAAAAGGAAGGTTGGGATTGATTTTGGGGGTTATGGTACAAATAGTTTAGGAATTAGTAGCCAAAAACAAGCATTTTTGTAGTTTCTGGACAATAACTCGTGTATATAAGTGTATGGATCACTCTGAAATTATATCACAAGGTTCCATATCTCAAAGGAAAGGCTGGGATTGAGTTTGGGGGTAATTGCCCTGAACGTTCAGGAATTAGGGGCCAAAAAGGGGCAAAAAATAAGCATCCAAAGGGGGGGGGGGGGGTTTTTCATAATTTTTTGGGGTTTTTTTTTTTCCTTAAAATTTTCCATTTTTACATTGATTATTACTGATTTATATATAAAAGCAAAAAATACTGATATGGCAGGAGATGCACACCAAACAGGATGTGTAAATTATTATTTAAAACAGATTTACTAAGTATTGTGCAACAGCACAGTATTGCTCAATAGCAAGAAATCTTCAATTGCATAGTATTGCGCAATAGCACAGTATTGCACAATAGCAAGAAATCTTCAATTGCACAGTATTGCAAAATAGCAAGAAATCTTCAATTGCACAGTATTGCGCAATAGCAAGAAATCTTCAATTGCACAGTAGCACAGTATTGTGCAATAGCAAGAAATCTTCAATTGAAAATTAATACAAATATTTTAACCCATTTCAAATTTTTAAGATCTTTCACCACATTTATTTTGTGTCAGAAACCTACATTATGTCAAAAATTCAGACAGTATCAAGCTTGAATATTGTGTCCAAACTTGCACCAACTGTTCAGGGTTCAACCTCTGAGGTCCTATCGGGCTGCACTCGGCAAAGCATTTTATTATAGACATACATAAACTTATCATTTGAGACCAAAAGTGACCGTGCGAGGGCTTTATATGCAGTCAAGGTCGTTAAAAACTTGAAAGACCGAAAGTGACCCTCAACAAACCGGAAGTGGTTAGTTATCCCCTTTATTACAGGCAAAAGTATAAAGAAACTATAAATTTTTGGAATCAGTGTAAATGTAGAGGCTGGAAGTGACATTTTCTAAACCGGAAGTTGCAAATTATCTCCCTTTTTCAGGCAAAAAATATATAAAAACTATATATTTTTGAAATCTGTGTGAATAAAGCTATTGTAGAAGACCGGAAGTGATATTTTCTAAACTGGAAGTAGAAAATTATCTACCTAATTTTAGACAAAAGTATATAGAAACGTATATTTTTTAAATCAGCAAGCACAAACCATCTTTGGACGCCAATAGTAACTTTGAGTAAACCGGAAATAGCTTCTTATCAGTAAATTCAAAAATTGATGTGGAAAGACCTTCAATTCTTTTTTAATTTTATTACTTTTTGTAACATGCACATTTACATATCTCAAGTGAAAAAGGAAATCAGGTATTATCATTCCTATCTGAGTGAATGTTTATGTGGATATAGAACATTTTCCTTGTTATTCAATGGTTAATTACAAGGTAGTACTATTATGACTTTTATTTTTCTGTATCTTCTCTTTCTCCATAATTCAAGACTCACATTGACACATGATTCAGATAGGTAAATATTTACTTCATATTTCATTTTGAAAAAAAAAAACTTGATATATTATTGTCATTCTTTATTTTACAAATAAGTGTTATTTACTTGATTAATATTTCACATATACTCTTCCAAATGCAATTTTATTTCATTTAATAAACTAATTAAACTTGCAATGGCTGCAGTATAAACTGTCTTTGCTTTATTTCATTGTGTTGATTTATCCAAAATTAAGAAAAGTTATAAAGAGTTACAAAAGTGTGTAAATTACTTTCATCAATCAATCATCTACATTATCACTTGCCTGTCAACACTAAGGTTGTGTGAAATCAGCATGTGGCAGGCCTGGTCCCAATTCCAATCTTAATTGCCTGTACAAAATGTGACGCCTGTAAATGACACGAAAACCAGGCGTAAAAATCATACTATATCCTAGCATAATTGCAGTGTTTAGGGAATGCATGTCCAGGCGTAAACCAGGCAGAAACCAAGCATAAGTGAGGTGGAAACCAGGCGTAAAATTAGGCGTAATATTTAAATGAGTACGCCTGGTTGACAAAAAAACCTGGAGTAATATGAAAATGAGTACGCCTGGTCAATAAATAAACCAGGCATAATATTCTTTCATAATACTACACTTAATTTAAATCAGTGTATTACTGTAGTTGTGTACTTTGTGTATTTTATTAAACTTGTACTGTTGTTTAAATTTCTCATTGTTTGACATAAAACTTGAAATATTAACCATTGAAGAAGCTATATAACATGTATAAATAAATACATATTAGACAGACACAGGCTCAAATAAGTTTAAGTTTAGATTTCATAATGCCAATTTCAAATTCTTCCAAAAAGCACTAAAAAAAATCTAATTTCCCCTGAATATATCAAGCTGCCATTTGTCCAACTCT